TGTAGCTATTATTTTACTTTGCCAAAAGTTCATGGAACACCTTTTACATGCTGGACATCTGTCCGCTTTTGTATCTACAAGAATGAATGAGAATAAAATAACCTTGTTTTATTTACAGTTGCGTAACTTGAATTCCCCAGGCTATTTACCTATTACTGGTCCATTACCTAATTCAAAATAGTTCAGACTTCTTCCCTACTTGATGCAAGAGTTTCATTATTTTGTCAGCTTGCCCTCTTGCACACTTTTTTGAATGCTCGAGGTACTCTAAGTCAGTTATTATTCGACATCCTAACCAGCTGCCTGGTTTTGGGCCACTGCATCATTCTTTTGTCTTTGAGTGACATCTTCAGCCTCTTGCTGCTGCTTCCCACGTGTGGCCTTAACCCCGTATGCCCTTCCAGACTCACACACGGTTCCCCAGAGTAACAGGAAGCTCAGCTGTGACATTTGCAGGACCTCACTCACAGCTTCAGGACTTAAAGAGAGAAGAAAAAAATACAAGTGGACAACTCCATCATTGTTATGAGATGGGCAGTTCTCCGAGTTCAGAGACCACAGCCCTCCACGGGCATTTTCTGTTACTCGGTTTCCCCTGCCCAAGCTGGTCTCCGTGTTTCAGGGACCCATCCACTTTCCCACAAAAGGAATGCTGAGAACACATCTCTCATATCTGGATCACAAGTCACCTGCCCCTCAGGCCCAGTGACTGAGTCACAGGCTCATCCCTCTAAGGGTCTATTTTCTGCCCCTATGAATTTTTTTAGGTTGACAGTGGGAAAACCTTTTCCTTTGTGGTATTCCTGCACTCATCAACAGACATAGAATCTTTACCTTTTGGTCCGAAGGTAATTCAGAACAACATCAGTACTTTCCCCAAAGCTGAGTTTGTTAATTTGAAATGCTCCCAGATAAGAGGCTGGCTGTACAGTGTGTGGTCCAGTTTGAGCTTCAGCATCTCGGGCTGTTCTTTCTAAGGTAAGATGCATTCATGTCCTCACTGGCTTCCGGTCTCCACCTATCTCCTACAGTTAAGTGCTTATACAAGAAAACACACTCACCTTCCAGTATCTAACAAAAAACTTTAGGTACAATACAATTTAAATCAACTTACAGGACAAAAACTATTGTGAAAGGAAAGATCATTTGCAGCGATGCCACTGTGCTGCAGTGGCAACAGCCTTTTAAAGGATTATGAAAAGCACATCTGTCTCCTTAGAGCCATGTTATTTCCATGAGACTTTCACATTTCCACTTAATTGAACAGTCCTTTAAGATGTTCTCCCCAAAACAAAAGAGCAATGTGCCCCTCAAACTGAATTCAAATATTTTCCTCAAGGGAAACAAACAAACTCTAGAAGCATTAAAATATCAGTTTCTCTGATTCATCAATTAGTGTTAAAATCTCCTGGGATTCACCTTAGGGCAAGTCACCCTGCAACAAACGATTTCACTAGAACTCAGCAGGGTGTCAGTAGGTGATGAGAAAAAAAGTCAGAGACAAATCAACTCCTACTTAAATCAAATGCCAAGCAATAAATGTCAGTCCAATATGACAAAACTAAAATGCTGCAGAAATATGCTGAGGGGGCTGTTATACGTTGAATTCTCCATAGTCACTCTTCCAGATAAGGAACAACAGTGGTTGCTTCTTGTTTACTTTAAGCTCTTTATTTTTTAAGTTTTCTGTGTATTCATTTCTTTAGCCAGCAAAGGACAAAGGATAGTATGTATATATAGTAAGCATTTCCTATACCTGGATTCTGTTAGAAAATAATGAAACATATCAAACTGTATTTGAGGAAAGGATGTTGTTTTTAGCCTGATGCCCAATAACTCCGTTTTTTACCTTCCTTTAAGGTAGGAGTTTATGAGTCAGAACCACACAGCGGCAGCATAACTAAGTCGGCAAGAATAAGTGTCAGAGTCCTGAATATTCTCTGTGTGTTTTAATGACTGGGATTAATAAATTGGGACCTGGTATACTCCCCGCACCCCCAGCATTTCTTCCTCCCTAGAGTGTCCCCAGAATGTGGTGTTGGAGGCTTGTGGGGTCATCTTGGAGAGGAACTCTGGGAGGAAGTAAAATAGGGATAAAGGTTATGAAGGGTGCTGGTATACTGAAGGGTTTTTTGTTATTGTTTTTAAGATTTTATTTATTTTTAGAGAGAGGAGAAGGGAGGAAGAAAAAGAGGGAGAGAAACATCACTGTGTGGTTGCCTCTCACACGTCCCCTACTGGGGCCCTGGCCTGCAACCCAGGTATGTGCTCTGACTGGGAATCAAACTGGTGACCCTTTGGTTCGCAGTCCTGTACTCAGTCCACTGAGCCACACCAGCCAGGGTTTAAAGAGGTTTTTACAGGACAGTTCTAGAATAGCCATTCATTTCATATTAGAGGTTTGTTTCTAACTACTTAAAATAACATATATTTAAATAAATCTAAAGCATGATTTATTTCTAGACAAATATTAGTCAGGAAAACACAAGTAAGCAGTCTTTATCTTTTATAAGATAATATAAGGAAGTCATTTTTTAATAATTCAAATTTAAGAAGGAACATCATGATGTGAACTACCGTGAGTCAACCAGCACCACCTCCAAAGGGTTCAGTTTAAGGCCAGAGTGTCCTTGGTCCTCAGCTGGGTGAAGTCTGACCTAGCCTTTCGAGGTAAAAGGTACGGTTTTCCTTATGTTTTACCAGAAGGACAAGGAATCCTGCCATGGATTGTTTTCTAGGCAGGGCACGATACGGTAACGATGAGCTCTTCTAAAAATTCTCTCTTTATTTATCAGTAAGTTCAGTGAGTTCTAAAGGTAGATTTTAATATTTTAAGAGTGGACACAAAGTAATATGTTTGAACATAACTTTTATAAGGCGCTGATATTTTCTGAAGTTTAATGAAAGAATGTTTGTGTGACCCCCCTCCATAATAATGTGGATTCAGGAAATAAAAGCAAAAATATTGATGTATGTGCAGTTCAAATAACATTTCATTTATAACTCAGCTATAGGAATTGCTTAAACCTGATTTATGTATAGTTTGAATAGATTTTGAAAGAAGAAAACTGCCTTTGTGGAGAGGGAAAAGGCATAGATTCTTTTGGAAAATTTTGTGAAGTAGAGTTCCTTAGAATGGTGGCATCAGAGTAAAGAACTTATGGGACGAATACGTTTTACTTGTCAAAATGAGCAATTTTCTCACAGTTCTCTGACTGTGACTTGTTCTGTGGTAGAAAGCAGAGGCCACTTTGCCATATGGAGTGCTGGTGTAAATAAGGAGTTCTTCACGGCATACTGCACACACAGAACTGAATCTTCACCATCATACCCGGGGCTGTAATTCCTTTTCTGAATTTACACACTCCAAATATAGACTAGTCTCTACCAGCGCCTTCCTTTCTGGAGACTTCAGTGCTGAATCAACAGAACTGCCTGAGCCAATACTTCTCACCTTCCCGAGTTTTCCCGAAGGCAGAAATCCCTCACAAGCCACGATCCTTTGTTTATCAGAGTCTTTCCTCACTCCTGTCATGCTATTGCCTGTCTCAGCCAATTCTGCCTCATGCATACACCGCTTTCCTTAGTTTTTGCCAGTTATTCCCTGACTCGTGTACAACTTTCTTCTGTGACAGCATCCTTTTCTTTGTTCTGGTGGAAAACCAAAAACATTGCAATAATTACACTGATAAGTATGAAAACACTGGTAAGACTGGCGTTACTAAAGTGAGGAAGTTACATGTGTTAACAAAAGCCCGGGCCGTCTTCGTCAGCGAGGTTCTTGAGGGACTGAACAGTCGCCTTTAAAATCTTCACTTCAATTACAATCTGTCACTCTACCCTTATCTAAATAAATGAAAAAGCTCAGTACTTAAAAATAAATAACATTATATCTTAGTCTGTTTTATTCTTTTTCTGTATTTCAAATACTAGTTTTCCATATATTGTATTTCTGTTATTTTGTACTTCATATGTCCTGTATTTCAGCCTCATCAAAGGTTAAATTGATGTTTCTGGGCTAATCTGGAAACCTAACTACAGTTTGTTTCACTACATCTGCAAGAAAATATGTTCAAATTCCCACTGACTGACTTGTACAGGGGCTTTTAAAACACAACCCGATCTAAGTTGCAGACACACTGTCTTTTGGTCTTTGTTACTTACTTTGTCCGCAGGCGACAGCATGAATCTGTTTGCAGGTACTCATCTTTGTGCTGGCAAGTACATTTTTTCACAGTGCTGGGTTCAGAACATCATTTATTCCTTGCTTTCTTCACTAGATGGTCGAATGTCTAATATGTAAAATGTGCTGTTTTAGGCCTAAGGGATATCCAGAAATGAGATTATGGCCCTCACAAAGTTCCCACTGTGTGGGAGAACATAAACCGGAAAGCTGCGCAAATGTGTGTAAAACGCCCTGGTAATAGACGAGATGCAGCGAGGCTGCACAGCACCATTCGAGCAGGTAGCCAGAGGTCTGCCTCGTCTCCAGGCTCAGACTGGTTCTCTGGAGAGAACAGTGCTCCAGCTAGAAGCTCAGGAGTGGGCAAGAGTTAGGAGAGGAAAGGACTTGAGAAGCGAGGGGCAAAGATAGAGCAGGAAGTGCTCCCAGTGGAGGGAACACATGTTTAAGGACCGCATTTGCTCCGTTAGTTACTCTTGACGACTGTTTCCACGAGTGACCACCGTGTAGCTGGGAGACTTTTGGCCTATCAGGGGTGTCCAGCCCGTACCCTGCAGGCCACATGCAGTCCCGGGTGGCTGTGAATGCAGCCCAACACAGCATCGATAATTTACCTGAAACCTTTTGTTATTGCTCATCAGTTTGCAGTAGTGTTTGTGTATTTAATGTGTAACCTAAGATACCTAACTCTTCTTCCAGTGTGGCTCAGAGATGCCAAAAATTTGGACACTCAAAGCATACCATGAAAATTAATTGTAATCCTACAAGAAGAGAAAAAGGCACCTATTTCACAGGCAGTTGTACCCCTTTTTTTCAGGTATGAAGTACTATTTAAGCCCTGACAACTACCCTGAAGATGGAATTATAAATATGGCAACTTTCCTGCGGGGCTTTGAAGACAAGAGGATAAAGCCCGACAGGCCTGAAGACCAGCTCAGGAAAGAGAAAAAGAAAATTCTGTTCTCCTTCTGTGAGGTGTGCAACATCCAGCTGAACTCTGCAGCCCAGGCCCAGGTGCACTACAACGGCAAATCCCACCGCAGACGCGTCAAGCAGCTGAGCGATGGGCAGCCTCAGCCCCCGGCTCAGGGCGGAGGGCCGCTGCCGGCCAGCCCCAGCCCCAGCTCCAGCACCAGCACCAGCACCAGCACAGGTAGGCAGGAGCGCTGCATCGTGATAACATGTACTCTTTTCCCTTACAGGTAAAATCCAAGAGCTCTTTGTTACTTTCAGTATAGATTTACTATTATTGTATACATATTACATTAGCAAGAAATACACACACACACACACACACATTTTGTATATTGGATCATGGGCTTGGCTCTGTCCCCAGAGGAAGTGAACAATGCTTGAAGTATTTTGGATGTGTTCAAAATGGATCAGTGGTATCAGTTTTCCCCTGTCTGTAAAATTAGGCTGTGTTGGGTTTTCTTTGTCTGCTTTTATGGGGTAGCATAGTACTCAACAGTATATGAAAAGCTGCAGCTCTATTTATCATGTCCCATGATGCAAGAAAGGAGTGTTAATCTTGTGTGTTAGATTTGCTACACTCTTCTAGAGAGTTGCCAGCCATGGCTGCTTCTGTGCAGGCGGTTCCTACAATAGGAACAAACATTGTCAAAACCAGCAAGGCTGACGTCTGAGGTGTCCGGCACCACCACAAGCACTTCCCCTCGCCTCTCGCTGCTCACCCTTCCCTGTGGGCTGGGTACCGGCAGACGCTAACGGGTTTTCCCGTTCCTGCATCTGCCCTGAATTCTGAGTCTTATCCTTGGTCAGCACCTCGTCCTCCTCCACGTTGCTGGTCATCGGGTATCTCCACTGGGATATAGGGGTATCATAATTCCACATCAGGAATATTACAGGAATATGTGGAGTTGACTGTGATTCATGGTGAAGATGCCTACACAAAGTGGACCTCCTACCCAGGTTTACCTGGGAGGCCAAGATAAGCCCCCTCCTAAATGTGGGGGGAGAGCTGCACATCCCACACTAGCAAGTGTTTGCCCTGGTGTCGGGGCTTCGGCCTGAAGTGAGATGGTGCAGAACGGCCATTTGTCGGAATTTCATTTGGTGCTTACGTAGTTTTTGGTTTTGTGAAGTTATGACATGATCCTTATTAAGGTCCAATATAAATTGTTTATATGCATACTGTAGGTACATATTTTTTTATATTTCAAGTTAACCTAACTATTTCTTTACCAATTTAATTCCATTAAATCATTTCCCCAATTGATACTTATCATACTGTGAAAGACAGGTGAATTTACAGGATATAAGATGCACACTTACTAAAATACTAAAAAAATCACTGCTTTCCTGTTGCGTTTATGTATTATAATTATAAGAACTCATAATTATAATACATAAACATTAATGTGTCTGTAGTTTACATATTAAAATAATTTATGTATTAAAATATAGTTGGCATTAGATTAAAACTGATTACAGTCTTATATCTAAATCAGAGAGCAAATAACCCTGAGAACAGGTTTGAATTACAGCTGTTAAAGTCCACATATCTATCCTGAAGCGAGGTTAACCTACAGCTTCTGATCAGTAGTGTTAGTAGCTACCGTTCATTGAACACTTTCTAATGTTCTGGTCCTAAGAACTGCGTAGGAAGTTTCTCATTTAATCCTCTCATCAACCCTGAGGTAGGTACTATGATTATCCGTGTTTACAGACCAGGCTCAGAGAGGTACAGTCATTTGTCTGGCTCCATGCGGCACAGCTGGAAATGGCAGACCCACGCTCCAGCCATGTTCCATTAAGAGTGAAGCCATCATTCTTCGTCACTCGTTCGTTGCAGTTTCCTGCTGTGCGGTGGTGCTCAGGTTAAATTTGGACCTACGTGCTGTCATGCAGTCGTGGTCAAGAATAGCTGTTTTCACAGCAAACTGTTTCACTTTGGTATGTCTTGAAAACAGAAATGTAAATCTCCACTATTGTTCTCCCATGCTAGTGCAAATGAAATTAGCTGGCTGATATAGAATTTGGCAAAGATATAAACAAATAATTATGCATATATTCTATAAGTAAAACATGGCTCATCATATAGATTAGCACAATATATTAATATATAGAAAAATGGGCAAGAAAAGGAGACAGATTTTCAAGTGTGTATTTTAGGCATAAAGGACAATTTTCATATATTGAAAATACAGTCAATGATCCATTCTCAGAAGACTTGGGTTTAGCATGTGATGAAGGCAGTTTACTTAGCCTCTGAAAATGATTAGCATTAATCATCCCATCTGAAAAAAAATAGGTATAATACTATGTCCTTTTAGAATTAAAACTTAGACATACATGTGTGTATAAAGATGATTATGAGATGATTTATAGTTCCAAAATATTAGATGTATTCTGAATGTCCAATAGGAGAAAGACGAAGCATTCTAATGATGTGCTTATAAGTTGAACGACAGAAACCGTAGTCATTAAACATCACATTTCTGAGGAAGACCTAGTGACCGGGGAACTGACCCCGTGCCAGGGGAAACAGCAGGAGCTTGATGGAGCGTACCTGAGGGTTGCCGTGTGTGCACACGCATGTTCTACTGTTTGGAGTCTCAGTGAGAAGCAAGCCTGACATGGTTTTATTTTTCACTTTCCTCAGTTTTGATCTATCACATATCTGTTTCCCGCTGGATAGCAGTTCCCTTCACACCTTCTCTGCCCATAACTTCTCACTTTTGTGTATTCAGAGGGACTCTGAGTTAGAAGATTCTATTCTATTTATAAAAACTTCGCGTTGTTACCAAATTAAGGCTTGATGAGACAGACCCTGGAGTTTAGAGTGGGGTTTGGGGCACAGCGAGTCTCAGGCTGCTGCCCCGCCCCCCGCCCTCTCATCCAGATGCCGAGGACCGTGGAGGAATGGGGGGGTGTCTCTGCCTTCTGGCCTTGGCAAGGTGGCCATGCTCTTCTTGATAAAGGAGCGCTCTTCCTCTTCTCGTTGTCCCTGTGGGTGACAGGTGCTCCTCGCAGAGTCTGGGAGTCCCTGAGATTTAGCTGCTTCTCCCAGCTCACCCCAGTTGGTCATGAAAGGCTCCATTTCCCAACCACATGTAGCTCTTTCCCACACATTGTGGCAGTCCTGGCAAGATTGTTTCCTCTCTTCTCATCTCCATACCAACCACTAGGGCCTGAGGGCACGCAGAGAATCAGTCAGACAACTGTCATTCCTCTTGAAAACCCAGAGGTGCTGGGGCCCAGGCAGGGAGGGGTGGAGGGGGTCGGTGGAGGGGCCCTCCACATTCTGTGCCCTCTGAGGCAGCCCAGGGGCGGCAGCAAGCCCACCGACAAAGCAGGCACCTAGTCGGGGAGCCAAATGCCAGACTCCCTTCTCCCCCAATTGCTTGGCTGTAGGGGATGTTATGGGATGAACTGTGTCCCTCGCAAAAAAAAAAAATATGTTAGACTCCTAATCCTCAGCACTTCAGAATGTAACCTTATTTAGAGATAGAGCTTTTACAGAGGAAATTAATTTAAAATGAGATCATTAGGGTTGAGTTGACCCTAATCCAGTGTGACAGATGTCCTTATAAAAAGGGAAGATTTAGACATAGGCCCAGGCACACACAGAGTGGAGACGATGTGAACAGACACAGGGACCAGAGGGCAGTCTACACACCACGAAGAGAGGCCTGGAGCCGACTCTTCCCTCCGAGCCCCCGGCAGGAGCCAGCCCGCCACGCCTTGCTTTCAGGCTGCCTCCCCTCCAGAACTGTGGAGTAAATGTCTGTTGTTAAGCCACCCAGTTTCTGGTCCTTTGTTACCACAGCCCGAGCAGACTAATAGAGGAAGGAAGGTAGTAGCCCCTCCCCTCCCCAGAGGAGAGAAGATGTGGTAGTAGAGGTAATTTTCCTAAGAACCGTTCATTTCAGCCCACCCTCCTCTCTGTCAGACTTCTTATGGCGCTGGGGTGGGCAGGGGTGGGGGTGGGCTTCAGAAGGTGGTGATTGGGACTTGAACCATTTCTGAGTGACCGACTGACAGCTAACCACTGACAGTCCTTCCACGACACTTAGAATTCAGGGTGTTTACAGAACTTTTAGATCTCAGCTTCTGGAAGAACAGGAGGGTTCTCAAAGCACACTAAAACCAACCTGTGTGTGCGTGTGTCTCAGTGTACCAATATAATTTGTTTCCTGGGAGCTTCATGACGTGCAGCAGCCAGATCCCCTTTTCCCTTTCCCAGTGCTGTCCCTAGCCAAATATTGCTAGGATACTCTGGGCTGCAGGCAGGAGAATCAGAAGGGAAGCAAAGAGACCTTACATAACTTAGCCTGCATGGGAAGGACCCCAGCTCCTTTTCCCATCCAGTCCCGAGGGGCGGGTGGAAACTACATGTGGCTTCAGACAAGGTAGTTGCATACTTGTATCCCTCAAACGGTCCACCAAGAGAGCAAGAGCCTGGTGTTCCTGGCCCCAAGTCTGGGCAGGTGGACCCAAGGCAGTCTCCTGGTTTTCTGTGGGCTTAGTGAGCACGGAGGCTGCCAGGTGGAACTGGACACTGCCGAGTGGCTTCTGAGAGGGGCAGGGAAGCAGCCTTTCCTGTAGTCCGGGTCGGAGCTGTGGCAAGGGAAGGTTTCCAGCACACCCTGAGCGTAGTGCAGGCCTGCCTGAAGCGCCCTCACAGTTGGGGACAAGGGCTCGCTCCACAGTACCAGCATGGGTCAATAACCAAACACCAGACAGAAGTAAAAATCTCTCAGGAGATGCCTATGTGCGGAAGTGACAACCAGTTCAGTTTGTAAACCCTCCTACGTGAGCCTTGGCACCACTAAAACCCATAAGCACCCTCGGCACCCAACCCCGAATCTCGATGCAGCTCCGGGGAAAGAGGTACTCTCTATACCGCCTTCTCGAGAGTAAGTTCCTGTTACCGTGGAGTGTGGGGTTTGTGCAAGACAAGGAATTCGTTATTAGTAGGTGTACCTTTAAAGATTTTTTTTTTTTTGGCTAAAGGAAGTTTTTCAAATAGAAAAATGATAAAAGAAGGAGTCTTGGAGTTTTAAGAAGGAAGGAAAACAATAGAAGGAAAAATATCGGTTCACACAATGAACTATATTAGTCGGGGTTCTGCAGAGAAACAGAATCGTTTGTATATTTGTGTCTATATACATATATAATAAAAATGTT